ACTGAGTGGAGACCCAAAGCCCATCAATAGACAACTGGACATCCCCTTACAGAAGGGTCACAAGGAAGAGATGAGCCAGTCAGAGGGCAGTATAGCAATGACGAAACACACAACTTTCCTCTAGTTCTTCAATGCTTCCTCCCCCCACTATCATGATCCCAATTCTACCTTACAAATCCAACTAGACTAGAGCATGTACACGGGTACAGATAAGAGCTGGAAACACAGGGAATCCAGGACAGATAACCCGTTCAGGAGTAAAAATGAGAGTAGCGATACCAGGAGAGTAAAGGGGAGGTGGGGGGAGAAAGAGGGAACCGATCACAATGATATAACCCCCTCCCTGGGGGATGGGGACAGACAAGAGAAAAGTGGGTAAAAGGAGACATTGGTCAGTGTAAGACATGAAAAAATAATAACAATTTATAAATTACCAAGGGTTCGTGAGGAGGGAAGGTGGGGAAGGGAGGGGACAAAAATGAGGAGCTCATACCAAGGGCTCAAGTGGAAAGAAAATGTTTTGAAAACGATGATGGCAACAAATGTACAAATGTGCTTCACACAGTGAATGTATGTATGGATTGTGAATAGAGCTGATGAGCCCCCAAATAAAATGATGAGACAAGCAAAAAACTTCTCTCCTTTCCACAGGTGTAGTCAATGTGATTTCTGTGTATCCCATCTGGAGAAGTCCACGTGTGGAGTCGCCATTGTGTTGCTGAAAAGCATTTGTGATGAAGAAGTCCTTGATCTTGCAAAATTCTCTCGTGTGGTTTGTTTCCATCACCACGGTCATGTTGTCTACCTATTGTGCCTTCCTCTTGGTTGCCAACGCTTGCATTGTAATCGCCAACACTTGCCAACGCCTCTTGACAGCACAGCTGATCAATTTCAGACTGAAGTGCTTGCTAAAATGTTTCATTTTCTTCATCCCTAACTTTAGTCATCGGTATGTAAATTTGACTAATATTGTACTCACTGGATTTCCTTCGATGGGGATAGATATTAAACACTATCATAGATAGTGTTTTCACAACAGACCTTGAAATGTCCTTTTTTAAAAAAATCATTTTATTAAGGGCTCATACAACTCTTATCACAATCCATACATACATCAGTTGTGTAAAGTGCATTTGTACATTCATTGTCCTCATCATTCTCAAAACATTTCCTCTCCATTTAAATCCCCAGCATTAGGT